AGATTCCAAAAATAATATTATATACAGAGTGTTCCATTTGAAAAATCAAAGTTGCTACTGCTTTCTAATAGAAGCGGCAACACCGCATTGTCGAAAATATTTTAGTTGGCTAGAGAATGTCCGAATATGCCGTCCATTAAATTTTCAAAGTGATCCGTTGTCTGGTTCAACAGAAACGTCTAATGTGCCATCCACCGTGAATCAGCCTGTATTAAAAATATTTTTTTTAATTGAAATATGGTAATGCTGTCCTTATGAAGGCCCTATATACATGATGGCGCATGAAGCCGCGTTTGATTAACATCGTCAGGAAGTACCAAAGAACTAGTAGGTATCTCGGACTTTTAACCAATATATCCAAATCGCGTGCTTGTAGTAGCCCTGTCAGACGACACGTTTGCGAGCGTGGTTCGAAACACTAAAGCCGGAATTACATTATTATGTTGTGGTGTGTTGTGATGCTCTCTGACGTGACGGCGAGTGTGCAGACTATTCTGTCGTGCGGTTAAACGAAGAATTCAAATAGTGAAGATAAATTAGGCGTTAGTTGCTAAGTGTTGAATATAAATTAGTTTGTGATAGTGCAATATTGTTAGAAATAAATTTGTTCAAGACAGTAAATTCTTTCATTTGTTACAGAAAGATACTAATGTGGAGTGTTCTGACGCCGATCGGGAATCGACCGATCGCCGTCACGACAGTTCGCGTCCCGACACACTGTACTATTAATATAATTCTAAACAGACTAAATGTATGGATACGATATACTTGTGGCGAGTCACGACACCCCACGACACAATAATATAATTTCGGCTTAAACGTGGCATCAAACTCTACATAACCAGCTAACAGCTCATCAAGAAGCCTTTACTTATAAGAAAATAGTTGAAAAACTTCAGTGCATATTCCTTCACTTTTGGGTAGTCTCAAATGAGCCATTGATCAATCTGTTAGATATTACAGAATACTTCTACCACTTTTCTGTCTTCTTTGTCTTGCTTTGTATCTACGGTGAAAAACCACACATAATCTACTTCTTAAACTTCGTTTCTTACAGCATAGCTGAACCAGCCAGTAGAATTATGTATACGAGGAGTAGAGGGATCGACGATACAACCTGCAGGTGGATAGACTGCATGTCTTGAAGAAGAAATGGAATGCATGACCAATATGGGGAAAACAGTAGTAGAATGGGTAGCAACGTTTTGGAATTTTGTCACGAGTTACTACTTCTGGACCAAAATAGATATGTACTGTACTATGCAGACGACTTAGTCGTCCTGGTCCAGAGGAAATATAATGAAACACAGTCTCTCTGTGCATGCAGTAGGATCGAGGAAGGAACATAAGCACATTAAAATCGACCATAGTAGCATTCACCGAAAAGAACAAAAAAGAGGGACTAGCTCTCTACAGCTCCGATTTGAAGAGATACAACTGGATCCCAAATTGACCTGAAATCAACACTTCGGATGAAAAGAAATGCTGGCCTGACGTACTTGCGGAGATAGGGGATCAGAAATCAGACATGATGTATTGACTATATCAAAAAGTGGTTGGGCAATAGATAGTCTATGCCGATTCTGCCTCACTGGGAGTTAACTTTTGAAGACCAACTCGATGGTGAGTGGCTGGGGCGAAGCTAAGAAGTAAAGGGCGACTTTTGCGATGAGAAACACTTGCCTTGGGAAAAAGATCGTTTTCAATTGAGGGACAGAAATTTAGGTGTGAGCGCGGGAGCTCTGTGACGGAGTGTGAGTCATTGAAATGGTTTGGTCCTCGACTTGGTCCTTGATTTAGTCCTCGATTTGGTTGTCGACATGGTAAAGTTCTGACGTTTTCCAAATGGTGAAGGCTTTTCTGGCGCGTCTATTTCGCACGCCCATCGAAATAAGTGTTACAATTATGGTGTTCGAAAATAATGAACGTTGTTACATTTTCCTGAAAGCTTCTCTGACCTCTGTTTCATTTCCTGATAATGCCAACTTGGTAGGTGGAACGCTCGCGCCATGAAGAGTGGTAGAGTTCTGACGTTTTCGAAATAGTAAACGTTGAAATGTTTCCTGAAGACTTTAATGACGCGTCTATTTGCGCGCACGCATCGAAAAAGTTTTACAATTCTGGTGTTTGGAAATAATGATCATTGTTATGTGTTTCTGACAGACTTTCTCGCAATTCTCCCTATGCTGTCACATTTAATATAATCATTTTTGTGATTTACATCATTCGAATCGAGTACCCAAATCAGCCTGTTGCAACCACTATAACGGAAATAAGTTAAAAGATCCATTTGGATTAAGAAAATTATTAATTATGTTTCTTGACTTTCAACGAAATCAAACGACATGAAGTGGAAATTGGAAATGAACTGATTTCAACGGATTGAAAACCTCCTTTGCATAAGGAATGCGAGTATATCATTTGTTTCAATACACGATTATTTTTTCAATACCGGTAGTGTTTATTTTTGCATGAAATGTAAAGATATGTCGAAAGTTCAAAATCAAATTTTCATATTTTTTTCACCAACATCTCTCTCGTTACAACTTTACATGTGCTTCTTGTATAAGTTTCAAAATCCTTCTATCACGCGCTCGCATGGTGTTCTCTTGACATGTCGCCATCTTTGATTTTTCTTTGATAATGAATTTATTATCCCTTCATTTGATGTGCTTTACGCCACAATCCGTCTTCATACCATCTGGACCAAGTTGAGGATCTATTCGAAGACCAATTCGATGACCAACGCCTGGACGAGAATCAATTCGAGAACCACCTCAAGAACCAATTCATTTGATGTGCTTTACGCCACAATCCGTCTTCATACCATCTGGACCAAGTTGAGGATCTATTCGAAGACCAATTCGATGACCAACGCCTGGACGAGAATCAATTCGAGAACCACCTCAAGAACCAATTCAAGGGCCAAACTGAGTAGCAAATTCTTGACTAAGATATGAGTTATTACCCTTCTGGCATATCGTATTTGATTTTTTTTTGTCAATAAATTATCATCCCTTCCCGTTTCAGTTGCCACCATGTTTGTTTTATCAATAAATTCTCCATTCCTTTCCACTTGTGTCGTTTAGATCCCGACCCAAATCGACCAATCCTAATTCTAGAATCAAATCGACGACCAATTCAAGGACCAATTCAACAATAAAATCGAGAACTAATTCGAGGACCATATTGACGCGACGTCCAAATCAAAGACCAATTCGACGATCAAATAGACAACCAAATCGAGGACCAATCGAGGATCACACTAATGAACAAATCGAGGTTCACACCAAGGACCAAATCAATGACTCGCACTTCGTCATATAGCGCCAGCGCTCACTCCCAACCTTAATTTTGGTGCGACACCCTCAATCCCCGATCGAAAACCATCCTTCCCCAACGCCAGGGGTTGCTCTTCGTTTCTTAGCCATTTAGCCGTCGAGACTTTACACCCGGTGAGGCAGAATCGGATAGAACATCTACTTTGAGCCTACGATAACATGGTTTTTTGGTTTGGTGACCAGAGTTGAAAAAAGCAAATGCATTAATGTACTAAGCAGGCTGCAGAGACTTGCTCGTTTGGGAGTAACGGGCAATAAAAACGACACTCTTGAATTTATCTCTTTTACCGCAGACCAGGGGCCAACAAACTCGGAAAATAGCTTTGAAATACAAACAAGATTGTTGGAATGGATGCCGTGAAAAGATCCAAGGAAAAACGCAACAAGCCCCTAAGAATGTGCGGAGAGTTGGAAGAAATCAAAAAGCCAGCTAGCTCTTAGTAGCAAAAAA